CCTTTCTGTAGTAAAACAGTAAGATATGTCGAAAATGCTGCTTATCGCTCTCCATATTTAAAAGGGCACCAACCAAAAACTACTGCGTAGAATTAATTGGAATTTTTCACACACAAACCTTGCTATATGAGCTCCCAAAGCATATAAAAATTATACGGCTTAAATGTGAAGTTGGGTGCAAAAGAATACAATTAAATCTTCAGTCGGGAAAAAACGAAATGACTTTCCGAACAACCCTATATATATATTATGCACCTACATTTTTGAGTACTACTCCTGTAAAATGAAAACTATTAGTACCTAAAAATGGCTTATACCATTGGGGTGGAGTCTTTCTATAAACCTGCCACAATGTAACAAAAATATATGAGAACCTTATAATTGTAACAAATTCTCGAGATAATTCCTTTCGTAGTTCAAATCATCCCTCTCTTAATGACTAAACTAGGGAAACGAACTTTATTTTTATGTCAATGTAAAAATTTAATTGTAAGTCGAGAAAGGGGACAGATCATTATTTATGAAAAGCCAACAGCACATTCTGTACTTTACAACATGATTTTGCCAAGATATGTTGTAAATGATAATGATTTTTTGAAAATACCGATGATGCTTTTGTGATATTCATGAATGTATGATGCAATATATGTGTTGTATAAATTATTATTTAGTGCTCACATTTTCATGAATACTATAAAATTATATATCATTATCGCATTACCTCTTAATTCATTTAACGATAATTACTATAGACACCCTGTAAATTATCCCTTTAAGGTGCTAAGTTCCGATTTTAATTGCTATTAAAAGTAGTTACGTCATAATTTGATAATATGGATAGGTACAGCGTAATAATAAAAAATACTTACTCTCTTTTATTTATAAGATGATTTTTCCATGGTAATTGTAATTCGGGTGGTAAAAATTAAGCTACATGGCGAGTACAGGCAAGGCATTAGTTGATTAAAAATATAAAATTGTTGGAAAAAATATAAATCGTCCCTGACATACAAATAAGTAAGTTAATACCTATTAGGTTTCTGGATTTATAGATTGTTTTGCGATACATCATTTCGTTGATTAAATCTATGTAGAAATTTTACGTGTTTCTATCTGAGCATGTTTAGTTGTTTACCCATAAACAAAATAAATGTTTAATCGTTAAACTAATCCTAATAAAAGATACTGTAAAGTAGGCGTGGATTATGACGTCTTGTCAATTTTTTTATTATTAGATATCGCATATGAACGATAGCCTATTGAAAAAAGTAGTTTTTATTATTAGTAGAAAGAAACGTGTTTCATTAAAAATACATCATGATGAAATTTTAAAAATCACGTATGTAACTGCCAATTATTTGCAGATGTTATTATCGTATCACTTCGATATGGAATTTCTGTGGATGAAATAGTTGGAAGCAGCTGCTTACTTTGTGAAGTTTAAGCAAAAGTTAAAACAAAACATTAATAATAAATAACAATAAACCAGAGCGATTTATCAGGTTATTGTAAACTCTTATGTATCTACTGAATATATATCCTATGAATATAAACGAGTATGCAGGTAGCTTTATTGATATGTAATGACATGAATTAAAAGCTTATTGTCTGAAGTACCTGTTTATAAAAGTTTGTGGGCTTCTTTAATGAATGAATGAATGAAATATGCAATTGGTAGTTATTACAGCTGTTTCTATTTAGAATACCTTAGAAATTAGAAATGCTTTGTATTGATTGATTCACGGCTTCAAGTCAAGTAGTCGCATTTGAAGTATTTTGAAAATAAAGTATGTACAATAGTTCTTTAGGACGATTTGATTTCTTCATTATTTATTATTGACATCAACTTTTGGGAAATCGTAAACATAAATGTTCAGAGATTAGATTATGACTAGCGACAGCTAATTTAGCCTTTCAATCATTTCAGGCTGTCGAAATATTCTCTATCTCTTTAAGCTTCCAAACAGGAATTTTTAATAAATCTCTTGCACGTAGGTACGCAAAAAAACACGAAATGACTATTTTGAAAGGCAAAATTTCTGTCTTGTTAGTCTTAAGTAAAGACAAGTAATTTGCAAAGACAATAACCTACTTGACTTGATGAATCAAGTAATTTCAAGTTGCTCGAAATTCCCTGGCATCAAGTTAAAGATGAACATTGATAGAAAACCAAGTGAGATAGTTGACTTTCAAAGAACTTGATTTTTTAGTAAAGACAAGTAATTTGCAAAGACAACAACCTGCTTGACTTGATAAATCAAATAATACCGAATTGCTTAAAATTGCTTGGCATCAAGTCGAAGATGAGTAGTGATGAAAAATCAAGTCAAATAAGATAGTTTACTTTTAAAGAGCTTGATTTTTAAGTAAAGACAAGTAATTTGCAAAAACAACAACCGACTTGATCAATTAGGTAATTTCATGTTGCTTCATATTGCCTGGCATCAAGTCAAAGATGAGCAGTGATGGAAAATCAAGTCAAGTGAAATAGTTGACTTTTAAAGAGCTTGATGTTTAAATAAAGACATGCAATTTGTAAAAATGAGAACCTGCTTGACTTAATAAATCAACTAATATCAAGTTGCTTGAAGTTGTCGTGTATCAAGTCAAAGATGAGCAGTGATGGAAAATCAAGTCAAGTGAAATAGTTGACTTTTAAAGAGTTTAATTTTAGTAAAGACAATGCTTAAATTTCGTAAATGTTTTCCTGAGCCATGTGCTAGTTCATTCCTATATAGCGATAAGTGCCAGCTATTTTATTGTTGTTTGTTATCACATTGTTTACTAGGACTAAGAATTTCCATTAAAAATACTACTCATAAAAGTATAATTCCATACGATAAAACTGTGAAAAATATACATAGAATGATAGAATTAATCAGACTTTTAATGTAAATGTGTTATTATTAGATAATATTATAAACCCATAATATGCTGTTAGAATATTTAAAAGACAAAATCTTCAGTATATAGCTAAAATATTTATGTCTAAAGTAATTAAAACAAACATTAGTAAACGAAAAAGTACTTAATCAACTTGAAGAAGGGTATTAAAAAATGCATAGTTTTCATAATATATACGTATATTATTAAATTTATGTTTCTGTGTAAACTTGAAACATTGAATCCAATAACTTGAGGTAAATGAAGGAGTAATTGGTTAAGAATAAATATTAGTAATTAGGTACTGATAATCTCAAATTGCTCTAGTATTTTATTTGTTTGAGACCTATCTAAGTGTTTCTTTATTTTATTTAGTTTATATATTTTTTGTTGTGATTAGCTTAACCACAATTTTGATAATATTACAAATCATATATACCGAATAAGTTTTGTCATTTTTGACAATTAAATGCAAAATGCGATTCAAAGTTTCTTGTAATGTAAAGCATTGTTGTGTGCTAGTTACCGAATTTTTGAATAGTCTATGAAGTTATATCGGGAAATTTTCACAATTTCAAGTTAAGTGTGTGGCACTTTCTTAATTTACAAGTTTATCCTTTTATTATTAAAAGCATTAAATCATGATTTTTTTAGAAATCCTTCGGTAACAAACCGTTTATATTATTTCTTTGTTTTTTCAGATATACTTATGAATGTTTGGTTGACACTGCGAAATACCTGTCCGATAAGGTACCATTTAAGCCAAAGGTTGGAATTATCTGCGGATCTGGCTTGGGTGCGTATTGGAATGAGGGTATCGTTTTCACATCTTTATTCTTTATTATCTTCTATTTTCTATTTTATACTTTATTGTTTAATATTTGAAGAGGTTTCTTATCTTACAACCCATACAGTCTTTCTTTTGATTTCGTTAAATGGCTAGTCTATTGGTACATTAATTTACGCTTTGGCTAGGCAGCAAGGTAAAGGTCTAGATGATGATGGCCCCCACCCCCTTCGGATCGAAAGAGGAGGTCTCCCCCACCACTGTACCATAAAAAGTTCGTGGCGGTCTCACCCCCATAAAAAGTTATGAGGCTTCAAAGTTAATAAATATGCCAATTTTTATACATTTCTAGGCATGTAAATATTTATATAGTCATTCNACACAGACCAACTTTTACCTGCTGTCTTAACAGTGCGTTTTAGAAAATACTACAAATGGCGCAGTAAACGCCATCTGTAGCACGATGCTACATTTTAGGATTACGTATATACATATACTTTTCTTGTATTGACGAATTTATTCAGGTGCTTAGTTTGCACACGCCTTAACCCCCTTCCCCTACTTCCCGGACTTCATCACTCTAACGATCAATTTATTGAAACAACACTTACTACCCATTACTTAAATAAGTACTTATACCTACATTTGCAAATCGTTTTTAATAATTAATTACTGATGAAGTGGTTAGTGACACTTTATTTGTTTATAGGTACGTGTTATATGCCAAAACAATGCTTTTGTTGATAACTGCAATTTGTTGCGAATTTTATAATTGGTTCTCTAGCTCTAGGTAAATACGGGATCAATTTAATAATTTATTTACGTAAATTTATTTCAACATTTTTTGTTTTACGACTGTTTATATTCTGCACTGGAGATATATTTCAGGTTTAACAATCACTGATAACACGTCCATGACCTAATAATGTTAAAATTGGCAATTTTGTTACTGCAATACAATAATACGTATTTTGTCAATTATGATAACTAATCTTGAAGTATGTGAATTCATATATGTAAGAATATTAATTTTAGGATTATAATTAATAAATAAAGACATTGTTGAGTTTACCCTTATGAAACTTTACTTTCTGATTACTTTTTCATTACATTTTGTCTACAGTTCTCTCTTAGCAACATACTATGTTATTGCTAGATCAAAATAGTAAATTACGCACCAAAGGGTGCACGTTCCTGGAAACTAGTACATGAGAGAGAAAACCTGCAAATACATTACTTTCTATCTGTTAGTTTTTCAGAAAATTGAGAAAACCAACAATATCTAATTTTTCGGCTTAATTGTTACGAAATGGAAAAAAACAATGATGCACCACTTTTTCCGATATTTACGAGATAAGAAGTTTTTTATGTCGATTTCTCATTCGAACAAGAAAATCGAAGGTATTAATTTTTCAATCTTCTAATACTTTATTTCCTGGGCTAATTGATGCTGTCAAATCAGAAACGTAATAAACAGATACATAATTGGCCCTTTATCGTTGTAATCTACTGATAAACAGAGAGGAAAATGAAAACTGATAAATAAATAATTTATCATTTTGTCATGTATCTTTTTAAAATACAAAAATCTAGTTCAATCTGTGACTTCTTAAAACAGACCAATGAATTTGCATGTTTTCCATAAACATAGGCGATGATATAATTTTACGTAATAAGCTAAGGAGGTAATTGCTGTAATCAATTATTTACTTAATTATGAAAGATAACGATTCCATACACTTATAACGTGCAATAATAGTATTTTTGAAAAAGCGAAATTTTAGCAGATTTTATATATGTTGTTAATTTCTGCCTATATAAAATGTCGACATTTTTGGTGGGGGATTTTCAAATCCGTCGGAGTTGTTATTGTTTTAGTTTCTCGCCCATCTATAAAAGACCGAAGCATACATCAGCAGCAGTTTTGTCACTTCGCAGTCGGGAAAGCGCATAATTACGTTATTAATTAACAGTGACATTACAGTATCGACAAAAAAATAATAAGAAAACATGACAGGTGTTGATTTAAAAAAAGTAACGAATGGCACCATTAAGCCACCAAAAGAGTTAAAAAAAAGTGACGACAGAGATGAAAGTAGTGACGAAGAGCAAGAAGAATACTTCAACAATCATGTAATACACACCTACAACAGCACGTAAGTTTTTTTATGATGAAAATTTAACAATATTAATGAGATTTCTTAGACATGTAGGAATANACACAGACCAACTTTTACCTGCTGTCTTAACAGTGCGTTTTAGAAAATACTACAAATGGCGCAGTAAACGCCATCTGTAGCACGATGCTACATTTTAGGATTACGTATATACATATACTTTTCTTGTATTGACGAATTTATTCAGGTGCTTAGTTTGCACACGCCTTAACCCCCTTCCCCTACTTCCCGGACTTCATCACTCTAACGATCAATTTATTGAAACAACACTTACTACCCATTACTTAAATAAGTACTTATACCTACATTTGCAAATCGTTTTTAATAATTAATTACTGATGAAGTGGTTAGTGACACTTTATTTGTTTATAGGTACGTGTTATATGCCAAAACAATGCTTTTGTTGATAACTGCAATTTGTTGCGAATTTTATAATTGGTTCTCTAGCTCTAGGTAAATACGGGATCAATTTAATAATTTATTTACGTAAATTTATTTCAACATTTTTTGTTTTACGACTGTTTATATTCTGCACTGGAGATATATTTCAGGTTTAACAATCACTGATAACACGTCCATGACCTAATAATGTTAAAATTGGCAATTTTGTTACTGCAATACAATAATACGTATTTTGTCAATTATGATAACTAATCTTGAAGTATGTGAATTCATATATGTAAGAATATTAATTTTAGGATTATAATTAATAAATAAAGACATTGCTGAGTTTACCCTTATGAAACTTTACTTTCTGATTACTTTTTCATTACATTTTGTCTACAGTTCTCTCTTAGCAACATACTATGTTATTGCTAGATCAAAATAGTAAATTACGCACCAAAGGGTGCACGTTCCTGGAAATTAGTACATGAGAGAGAAAACCTGCAAATACATTACTTTCTATCTGTTAGTTTTTCAGAAAATTGAGAAAACCAACAATATCTAATTTTTCGGCTTAATTGTTACGAAATGGAAAAAAACAATGATGCACCACTTTTTCCGATATTTACGAGATAAGAAGTTTTTTATGTCGATTTCTCATTCGAACAAGAAAATCGAAGGTATTAATTTTTCAATCTTCTAATACTTTATTTCCTGGGCTAATTGATGCTGTCAAATCAGAAACGTAATAAACAGATACATAATTGGCCCTTTATCGTTGTAATCTACTGATAAACAGAGAGGAAAATGAAAACTGATAAATAAATAATTTATCATTTTGTCATGTATCTTTTTAAATTACAAAAATCTAGTTCAATCTGTGACTTCTTAAAACAGACCAATGAATTTGCATGTTTTCCATAAACATAGGCGATGATATAATTTTACGTAATAAGCTAAGGAGGTAATTGCTGTAATCAATTATTTACTTAATTATGAAAGATAACGATTCCATACACTTATAACGTGCAATAATAGTATTTTTGAAAAAGCGAAATTTTAGCAGATTTTATATATGTTGTTAATTTCTGCCTATATAAAATGTCGACATTTTTGGTGGGGGATTTTCAAATCCGTCGGAGTTGTTATTGTTTTAGTTTCTCGCCCATCTATAAAAGACCGAAGCATACATCAGCAGCAGTTTTGTCACTTCGCAGTCGGGAAAGCGCATAATTACGTTATTAATTAACAGTGACATTACAGTATCGACAAAAAAATAATAAGAAAACATGACAGGTGTTGATTTAAAAAAAGTAACGAATGGCACCATTAAGCCACCAAAAGAGTTAAAAAAAAGTGACGACAGAGATGAAAGTAGTGACGAAGAGCAAGAAGAATACTTCAACAATCATGTAATACACACCTACAACAGCACGTAAGTTTTTTTATGATGAAAATTTAACAATATTAATGAGATTTCTTAGACATGTAGGAATAATTATATGCAGTTTCAATTTTTGGTCTGTCCGTACGTATACTATAATGCTAACATCTCATTTGTTCACGGACAAATAGAAATTATTAGATTAGAAATATAGGGTTGTTTCGGAAAGTCATTTCGTTTTTTTTTTTTTGGGAATGAAAGACAGTTTTCGTATAATAAACAAATACTTTATTAAATTATATATTGACTGTTCTGGTCCAACACCTTTTGCCATCTTTCTGGTAGTAGCATAATTCCACGCTCATAAAATTTTTGGTCTTTGCTGGCAAAAAACTGATC